TATTAGTGGTTGTCACATTAAGAAGGAATAGGGATATGGTACAGATTATAAGGAATTTTATTTTCTATTGTATTCATTTATGAATTTTCACAACAAACATGTAATTAGAAAGCTGAAACTAGAAAGTTAGAAAGAGGAATGGTAGAAGGAACAGTAAAAATTATCCTTATTATAGTAGTTAACCACTCCTAAGCTTTTAGTTTGTCAAAAATCTCTAAACCTGAAGTATGATAGAAGGGAGACAGTAGTGGAGTTTGAGGATTAGTTTGTATCAATCAGCTGAGGAAAGATGTAAGTGAATAATATCTAAAATAGAATTGTAGCCTGTCTTTGAGGATAGTGGGGTTGTGAATATTCAAAGAAGAGGCAGATCGATAAACTATGAAAGAAGAGATGGATCAGAAAAGCAGTCAAAGCAGCATGATAAATTGTGTTTGCCCAAGTACAGCTTGAAAGCTTGAAAGAAGAACCAATGCCGAAAGGCAGGGAGAAGATAGTATGGTAAAACCTCACCAGTCAAGTGAAAGGGAAGATTGTATTATTGCTAGGTTTATAAAATGATGGGGTGGGGTTTGATGCAGAGGATAAGAGCCAAATGCCAATCACCTTATAGCCTAATTCACCTTATTGAGGATCCCAAATAGGAATAACTTTTAGTGACTAATGGCCCCATGACTGCTCTGCAGAATTAGGTGCTGCAACTGCTAGTGTGTGCTGGTAGATAAGGGACGCTGGGGATCAAAGTGACAAAACATTAGAGAAATACAATGGTTTGCAAGATTCCTAGGATTTGGCTTTAATTTCAGGGTAAAAATTTTTTTTGTCACATTCCAATTTCCAAGTGGTTAAACAGAATAATCATACCCTGCCCTGGGGCTCTTGGAACAACTGTAAATAACTCTGCTTTGTTGGAGTTGCTCTGTGGCATTGGCCCTGAGAGCCTATCGCTGTAGGAACAAAGTCCAGTTTTCTTTTGTGGTACCAAATTGGGCCATTGGATACAATAATCTGTTGAATCAAGGTAAGATAAATGATTTGTATTTTTTTGTTGTTTAAAAACGAACATTGTTAGAAGTTGGTCCCTTTCCTTTCCTTTTCTTTTCTTTTATAATGTCAATTGCCCATTCCATTTGTGTGTTTGTAACATTTTCTGTTGGTAATAAATATTGGGGCTATAATTTTTTGAAATCATTGCAACGAGAAGAAAAAGTAATTTTAACAACCTGTGTTGAAACCTTCCATAGCTTAATTGACTGGAATAATCCTGCCATCATTAATAAGATGTACAAGGTATACCTTGGAGATATACCACTGAAGACAAAAGAGGTAGGTTGTTTTGATTTATTCTTACATTAGCATAAAAAACATTTTGGTGACATAAACTGTATCTATTGGTACATTTTTCCTAGTTATTTTGATTTAAGCTGAGTCTATGCTATATGAAATACTAGTTTTAAGCCATGCTAGTCAAGGTGAATTAAAATCTCTTGGTAACTTAGTTT